CTGCCAGAGACGGTGGAAACGGAGCTTAAAGGCAACCAAGGGGCATCCCGTTATCCCCTGCTGAGAGCAGAGTGGGATGGATGCCTCACCTCCACAGCCGCGGGGAAAGCACCTCGCACCCTTCCTCCTCTTCCTACAGGAAATGATATCGTGTCTTCACTGCAATGGTATCATCAGAGATCCAAAATGTCCTCCCCCAGAGGACCCAAACTGTGAATGCTAAAGCAAAGTGAACAGGATGCCCTAGGAACCACAGAGAAAAGTAAATAGCTACTTTGGGGTTTCTGCCAGCCAGGGGTTTCTTTGGTGGCCAGAGCTTGGCTGTGTTACACCAAACGGGCTGGGCTGGGGGTGTCCACGAGGGGCTGGAGGAAGGGACCTGCTCGTCCTCACCCCCATGGCAAGGGGAAAGGAGAGCAGCATCAGGTGGCTCTCGGAGGAGGACAGCAAAGCTGGAGTTCGCTGGATATGGTTTTCTTCAACTACCCCTTCAGGAAACAGCTGTGATTTTAACAACCTCTTTTACCTAGTGGCATGTCCCAAACCATACTGCACACGGAGTAAGGCAACCGAATAAACATTACAGAGAAGTTCAACTGTATTTTCAGGCAGCCCTGACAATCTCCCCTAGCCTGTACATGCCCATCTGTTGTTTTAGATGTGGTAATTGCAGGCACACACTAAAGTATACTTCAGCAAAAGAAAAGGGAATTATATGTACCCTGCTAGCAGTATTCATGGGAACTGTGTCACTCAGGCCCCTTCGAGCATCTCGGACAGAGAGAGGAAGACTGCATATTGAGAAGTGAAAACATTAACTTCAGTAGCTGCTTTGCACTAAGTTTTAAAGGTGTCCGCTTCTCATTTCCACCATCAGTACCATTTTCCCCAATTACATATATTAGATAAAACTCTTGAAAGCTAGTTTATGTATGACAGCAATGCAATTATTTTATATTAAGCACAGCTTCTTGCACAGCAACCTACCTGTTAACTCCTGCCCTTCACACAACATGGGCAAACATGCAGGGAGCAGCGCTTTTCCACTCATCCCTCCAGCCCCGAGGCTGGAAGTTGCTCCATTCAGACTAAGCCCTGTATGCAGGCTATGCTTTTAAATGGAGCTGAGCTCACAGTCAAGTTTACTAATGCTGGCATGGTCTGGGCCCAAACAGGCACTTCGCTGTGGATGATGGAAAGGAGAAAGGTGGCATTTCAGCTTTTGTGGTACGCCTCCACCTTCTCCTTGGAGGCTGAAACTGAGGGTCCAGCCCAAAGCCCCTGTGCCTGCTGCCATGCTTTGTATGCCCTGCACCACCACTGTGGTAGATGTTTGCAGTGAGGGAGGGAAGGAGGGAGGCTAACTTTGCTGTCACAAGTCAGAGGAACAACTCAAAAGCGCACTGCTAAGGTTTCCCCACACAAACCATGTGTTGACTTGCTGAGAAAAAAAAAATACGCTGGGAATCGTCATCACTGCAATTGCTTTGGCAGATAAGCACCTCCCTTTGACCCCGCTCTGAAAGCTGCATACACAGCACCTTGGCAAAAGAAACAAGGTGCAGAAGGATGCAGTCCTCAGCTGGAACAGCTCTGCAAGGTCATGCCTTTTACAAAAATGTCCCCTTGCAGCACAGGGTGGAACAACAGGACGTCCTTCCCCAGGCATGCATACTCCTGGGCACAAGGCAAAACAGCCCCCAGCACCACATTTTAAGGTTATCAGCCCAAGGTTACAAAGAGCCCCTCCCAGGCAGTCCCTCCCAATACGCACCATGGCGGTGAGGCACTGCGATTCCTGCACCGTGGCGGCAGAGCTCAGCAGGGCTGCAAGGATCAGGGTCATGCTGAGGCAGATCCCAAAGTAGAAAGCTGGAAGGAAGCCGGACATGGGAGCTGCGGTCAGACACCAAGACTTTAGGGCTAACGGAGGCCTGGTCTGATGCTTTTGCCCAGAGAGGGGCCAAAAAGTGCATTTTGGGGAGCTGGTCCAAGAGGACCAGGTTGCAGAATAGAAATTGTTTTATAACTTATTAGTACCCCCCATCTGCGTATGCTTTGCTTGTCCGGCAGGGCTGTAAACCTCTGAGTGGTTCCCACAGCTCCAGCAGAGCAAAGCACCCTAAAAGGGTGTTGGTCCACCCAACAGACCACAAGCTGTCAATTATTTCAGCACTCCGATAAGGATCCCCCCAAATGGGGGGGTGCTGATGTGCAGCAGCTGTCCCATGGCCCTTATCAGGACTTCGTGTGCTGCTAATCTGGTGCAACACTTGCCCTCCAGTTTCCTCCTGGCTAAGGCAGGGTCACAGCCAGTACCCCAAGGCAGTGCTCAAGGACCACAGCACTGCGAAGGGCTTTGCAACCCTCACTCAGGACTAACCGTGCAAAGAGTTAACACTTGCAAGCAAAGCAAGTGGAAACGAGAGGGGTGGCTGGGAAGGGAGAGGCCTTCAAGGCTGCATTAAGTGCCAATCTATATAGCCCCTGGTGTGTGTAGGAAAGGGGGGGAGCTGTACCTTAGCTTTGGACTAACATAGTTTTCACACCTGCCTTGTTAAACTGAAATTGAGAGCCAGGATCTAGAGACTGTATGAGCATGTTTAAGCCCAGAGTATAGCTTGGGAGAAGCAGCAGATGCGAGTGCAGCAGAGTCGAGCGGAGTATTTTAGTATCTGGATTGTTTTCATCTCTTTGCTCTAGCCTTGTACCCGAGACTGAGTTTATATTTCTCCCTTGTGTAGGGAAAACCCCCCACATTTCCTCCAAAACCAGGTGTTTCCATGCATTTCTCCTCCCAGCCTCAATTTTCTATGCTCTGCTTCAACTCCCGTAACAATCCCTCTTCCCACATCCCCAGGGCCCTTCCAGCCCCACTGCACCTTTAGGTCCATCTTTGGCTGAGCCTCCTCTATGCTTTCATTGCAGCACAGGGGAAGGATGGAGAGACAGAGGACAGGAGCAAATGCAGCAGCACCTGAGCACCCTGTGCTCCCACAACACCCTTCAGTGCCAGGCATGCGGGTCTGATACAGAAAAAAGTGTCTGTGGGACTGCGTTAGCCCTAGTACATCCTCCAAAAGCCAGCCCCTGCCTCTTTCTGTGATGCCTCTGCATTTCCTTTGACTGCTCTGGAAGACTTTGCAGCTCCTGGCTTCACCAAAGGTCTTGCTGAGATGTGACCATGACGTACCTGCGTGGTGGATGACCCTGTAGGAGTTGCTCTCCAGGGAGATGTCGCTGATGAGGGTGAAATGGAGCCCGTAGTGGGTGACTGTGCTTAGTGTGGCAATGGACAACCCCAGCAGCTGGAAAAGAAGGTTTTTAGGAAGGGATTGACAAAGCAGCAGCTCCTGCTGAGTGCACACAAAGCTTTGAGGTGTATCTGTATACTCCTGAGCCCCATGCAGGTGCAGACAGCCTGATCATCCAAAGAACACTGCATGTACCCCAAAATGCACGTAAAAGGACAAACCCCAGACACTTAAACATACTAAAGCTCTTTTTCTCTCTTGCATAACGAGCGCACATGACACTGCACAGCCTGCAGTCTCTTGGCCGGTGTCTATGGATGAAATTCCCACCACGTGAAGAAAGCCCAGAGGATCGATGCTCTTGCAGCACACCTGTGCAGTCCCACTCTGGTCTGCAAAGTACGCACGTGCAGTTATGAGGACTGCCAGCTTCAAGAGTGGTTTTGGGCTGGGATGATGTTCTCTGCTTTACCCTTTGCAATGCTAGTCCCATTGCCTGCTGTTGGCTATATTTCCTGTTGTAGAGTGCAAAGAACCGAGTCTTGTACTACTCTAAGTAATCTGTGCTGGTTTCTGTCTCCACAACGTGCTGCTGGGCCATCTGTGCTTCTGTCCCATCTCTGAGAGCACTTGTATGCCTAAGGCACGGGGTGACTATGAGCACGTTACCCTCCATGTTGCCCAGAGCACGTCCAGGCGATGGAGAAGGAACATTTCTGATGGCACCTGGCTCTAGGGCAGGGCTCCCTGTAGCACGACTGGTGGCAGAGCTGGGACGGAGGCACCAACAGCAGGACAGTTAAAAACCCCTCCAACTCTAGTGTAATGAACATGGAAAATACAAGATGTGAAGCCGCTCCTAGCTCCTAAGATAAGGTTTCATCATTTTGTGCCTTTACAATGTGGAAACACAAGGCAGCTATCCCTGTGTCAAATGTGACATAATCCCCACTGTATGACATTTTCTAATAGCTTTTGCTGGAGACTTATAGTTTTGGAGACTAAATACATCCAAACCATAGCATTTTCTCCTTATAAATAACCTAATTTGTGGCACCTACTGATCCTTCATGCTGTGCATTACTGCATATCTCGACCCACGCCCAGCAAAATGCTAAGTGCAACACCGGTTAGCTCAGATTTCTGAGAAACACCAGTCTAAAATCCTCCCAACAGCAATAACATGATTCTAGCCATCCATAGTGGCTGTGCCTTAACATCTCCTCTAAACATGTTTGGTACCAATCCTCCTTTGATTTCCTCCAAATGACATATTTTGTTATTTGGAAGAGACAACAACGTACAGCCACTACAGCCAATGGTCTTGAAATGTTGAAATTTGGGCAAACTATAAATTTCACGTGTGGCCCAAAATAAGGTATTACCTTTTAATTACACTCTTTCCAAGCCACCAACCCTCTTTGAACTAAATACAGATTATTATTATTATTATTTTTTAAGCTTGAAAGTTTTGATTAAGTGAAAAGGCAACAAGCACATACAACTCGAAAACATCCAGCAGAAGCGTTCCCCAGTTTCCACCGTTTCCCATCGGCTCTAACAGCAGATGTCAAGAAGCTCCCCTTGAATTTGCTTCAAAAGCTGATAAAAAGGATCCCTAGAACTGCTTTCACTTTGCGGTGCAGATCCACAGGTCTCTCACATATGCTTCCATCGAAGCCTTGCGGTTTCATATCCTCACTGATCCCACCTGCAGCCGACCACCCTCCCAGCAACAAGTGTGACTGCAGCAGGTCCATCCTCCCTCCTTTGCTCCAAGGAGACAGGAGCAAATACCTTTTTGCTGAAAGCCACCCATTCTGCCGGCAGTGACCTTTCCTTTCTCCTTCGAGGCAGCCGCTGGGTTGTGAAAGAGCTGCAGCGGCATGACAGCCCTGAGAAACCAGAAGTCTATCAGTGGAGGGGGGGGGGATGCTGGCGGCCAGTGATAACCACCCAGGGTGCAACGATAACTCGGGCAGTTGGCTTTGCTTGCCCTCCGCCCACGAAAAACAGAACGTGGGAAAACCTGACCCTCGCCGAGTGGGGATGGGAAAGGCAACGGTTCACCTCGATTCTGCAGAGATCCCCCCAAACCTGCCTGCTCACCATGACACAGAGGCTGGTCACCAGCAGCTGGCACTTGGTGGTCCTCATCCCGCACCTCAGTCCCATGGCTGCTTGTCCCCAGAGAGAGCTGGCAGTTGGTCCCTCCAGCTCTTGATAAAGCCTAGGTTTCCACCAAAGGGAGGCATGGCCACAGCGGGGCCTGTCGGGAAGTGTAGTCCCCACCACGTGCCGATGCACCTCCTCCTGCCCTATTATTAAATCCTGTTTAGAGCAGCCGCCTTCTGCCTGGGCTCTCAGTGGGCTGCCATCAGCTCCAACACACAGCCAGCTGGGAAAGAAGGAAAGGCATACAGAAAAACAGCCTTTCACGGAGTTCGGAGCGAATCTCCTTAAAAAATTTTTTGAAACTCTTAAATCAAGAGTCAGTATCAAAATACCCTGTTTTTCGCTTTCCCTGGGACGCAGTTTTGCTTAAGGAACATTGTCACTAACTATTTTTTTTTAAATCTGCATAAATAGTATCTTGGGAAAAAGTTTAGGAAAATGTTATTTAGAAAAAAATAACCTGTTGTTTAAAGAAGAATCAAAACACCCAAATAGATCTGCATAAGAGTCTTTCCTTCCCCATTTAAAAAATGTCACATGGCAATAAACTTTGGCTGAGACTCTATTAAAACTTCTGTTTGCAGACGAGGGAAAAAAATCCCTTTGGTAGTATTTTATTCAGGAAAATGGCTATATGTAAATATAACCCCCTGCTCAGGAGACCCTCACTGTCCATGGACATTTTGACTCTGTCCTTTCCCCTCTCCTAGCACTGAAGACCCCATGGACCCACGGCTACAGAAGACTCAGGTGACTTCTGGTCCTCAAAAGCAGCTGCCTGCTGGATGCGTATTTCCCGAAAGTAAATCGCAAAGAAGCCTCAAGAACCATCTGGCCAAAGGGAGACTGAATGACTGACTGCCTTAATCATCCTTGGTTTCGGAGTGAGACCGGTGGAAAAGAGGTGAAACAGAATAATGGAAAATAGTCACACTCCCCCCAGACGGCAAAGAAAGGGGGGGGAAAGGTAAAACCATCCCACATCAGTAGCTGTAGCTACAGGAAAACGACAAAGAAGAAGGAGGAGGGGAGTGAAAAAAGGAAGGAAGATGCATTTTGTAGAGCAAAGAGAAGCAAGAGAAAGTGAGTTGCACAAAGCCATGTGCACAGGAAAAAGCATGTCATGACTTTCTGACTACATCACCAGCTTTCTTGGAAGCTTTCTTGCAAAACATCGTGGTTGCAACCTCCTGAGACACCAATGAAGGCTGCCACAGCTGTTTCCGAAAACAGGTGTCCCCCATGGCTTGTGGGTGCCTGCCCTGGTGGGGCTGCCCGTTGCCCAGCAGGAGACACTGATGTACCCATGGGCACACAGAGACCTTCCTACTCCAGCCACCAGCTAGAAACCACCTGAGAAAGACCAACAGATAGGCAGCAGGGAAGGAGAGCAGTGGGGAGAGGACTACAGAGAGAGGGCAACAGCCTGGGGAGGCAGCTGATGCCCAGCCACACATGTCTAGGAGCAGGAACCAGACACCACCTGCAGCAGCGCAGACCCCCCTGGGGACAGGAGTACAGCTGCAAGGTGACCATGTCCACTCCCCACCATGGGCCAGGTGGGGAAAGTGCCTTATAAAACACTGTGGTGGAGTTAGGACTGCATCCAAATGCAGAGCTGTTAGCACCCGTCATTTCTTCTGGCACTACGGGACAGCCGGTTGTGTTGTCACGTGCATTTTCAAGGGGAATGACCACCAAAGAGGCACAGATATAAAGGCAGCAGGGCTGGTCCACAGGTGGAGTTACAGGTTAAATCTGGAAGGGTTGCAGGAAGGTATGAAGCACAGCTCTGTGTGTAAAACCAGCCTAGAAGCCCGACCAAAAGCAATGGTGAGGTTAGAAGCGAGGGCGTAGCCGTGGTGCACACCGTGAGCACACCTGGAGCCTGTTTCACAGCAAGGGACATGAGAAAAACCATGCAGCCCATCTTCATTTTCCCCTAGACCCCAGTTTCCTTCCCCAACTCTAAATGCATGCTACCGGAGACCTGTGCAAAGCCAGATCTCACACTAGAGGTCCCCACAGTCCAGCAGAAACCCTTCCCAAAGGCCTGCATGATTCAAGTGGGCTTTCTGAAGGGAATAGATGGGCAGTTCCCTTCCCAGTTCCCCAAAGGTCTCCTCTGTCCGTGCAGGAGCCTCGCACCTCACTGCAGGACCACCTGAGAGGTCACAAAATCATCATCTACACCCCTTGGAAGTGCTCCTAGTCTCTCTACAAAAGATGCTCTACCTCCTTTTGTCTCCAGCCATAAAAACAGGCAACTTCACTGCCTCACCAAGCTCTCAAAGCAGGTCTGTAACTTTAAACACCTGGGTTTAAACAGATGTTTCCTCTGGTTTGGTTGCGAATGCCTATTCCTGGGTAGTTTGCCCATGTCCTCTGATGATTCAGGTGCTTCTCCCAACTCCAGCGCTTGGTGCTCTGCCTTCATGCCTGCTCCCTCGATTACCTGCTGTATTTTGGGGGTGGAGGCATTTTCTGCTGTGTCTCTTTCCTCCATCTTACACTTCATCCCATATAGGTATGGCTTGAAGGATTTCTCTCTGAGGCAGAACATATGTGAATTTCTAACATCAAAAAATAATAAACGGCAAAAGAAGTTACTCCCTCCCCCAAAAGAAAGTCAATAGTAGGAGCATTAGACGACCTGGGGCATTAAGAGGTTGGGCTCTGATTGAGGGAGGCACATTTGGCACATGCAAGGGCACTACCGAAGTGAGCGCAGAGGGAGCATGCGTGCTCATCTTAACTGTGGCCATCGAAAGGGGATCTTTACAACACTTCACTTTCTCCAGGATTAAATTTCCTCTGGGTGCCGTGCCATTGGCATACACCTGCCTTGGCAGCTCTCTGCCCAGGGAGCCCTGGAGAGAAGCAGGTTGTCCCCCCAGCCCCATCCCAGCGGGAAGAGAGGCAGGGCTGGAGGCACGCGGGGGAACCGTCCCCACAGCCGGCATGCGGGCTGAGCAGCGTGGCTTTTCCAGCAGGACTAGGCCTCCTGCCTGCCCTGCCGAGTTTTATCAGTTGGTCCCCTTTGTAAGAGCACAACTTATCGCTCCCAAACGCGGTGCAAAAACCACAGGTGACCACAGCTCCCACCTGCAGCTTCCTCCCTTATCTCTGGTTATCAGCTGAAGCACGGAAAGAGGGTAGCGAGGCTGAAAATACCCCAGGGAGCCCAGGTGCCCTCTTCCTCTAGCCTTGTGGCAGCTTGCAGCCTTCTGTTAGGCTGTGAAAATACATACTGGCATCCCCAGCTGCATGGCTGTCGGTGGCACGTGCCACCTCATCCAGAAGGAAAGGATTGATTTAAAAAAGGGAACAAAGCCAGATAATATTTTTTGCAGAGCTAAAAACCTCCAACCCTCTTCTGAGCTGGAGGGAAATGCTGCCCACACTGTCAGATGGACATCCTAAAAAAGCTGCGGGATTTGATGCATTAATGGGGTGAACTTGGGAGACTGAACATAAAAGAAGAGGCTGAATTCATGCTAGTGCTTTCTTGCTGTCCACTTTTCTGGCTCTTGCTCCATCGATGCAGCCACCGATGATGCAACAGCAGCACCCCAGCCCCAGTGGCTTGAACTCCAGCCAAGACAGCATGTAGGAGAAACCTCCCCCTCGGCTTTGGGGCGCTGCTACTCGTGCTCCCATGAAAGGATGGGCTGGAGGCAGGGGAGAGGAGGTTGCCCCAGAAGGCAAAACTACACCTGTCGTGCAGGCAGGACACATCTGTGCCAGGTCCCTGCCGCCTCTTGGGAGCCTCCTCCTTTGCCAGCCCACACCACCGTTAGGGAAAATACATCTCCTCCATGGTACAAAATAGCTCCAAATGTGGCAGATTTACAAGTGTCACTGGCTCAGCCCATTCAGTCCCTCAGCTACTGCCCATAACACGGCTATATTCACCGTAGAGCTCGCTCGTAAATAAAACATGCCCATATCAAACTGCACCAAAGCCGTATGAATGACGGGAAGCCAGGGAGACCTCACAGCCTGTGTCTGCCTTCCTGGGCGCATCACAAGGATGCATTGTAAAGGCTGCTTAGCATTCATATAGCACATACGCACAATCAAAGCTAAAAATCAACTTTTAAACCCGGGGCTGTCTCTTTTCAAGAAGGGAAGGAGACGAGAAAAGGGGGAGGTGCTGGGCTTTGCCAAGCTTCAGATGCTCCATACAACTCTGCTGTGAATGGAAATAAGGCTGGCTGGAGGCTGCCTTGGAAGAAACAAACCGGAGAGAAATCATAAAATCTCCAAAGGACTTCTTTATTATTTCCAAATTGTGTCTCAGAAATCCTCCAGTGATTCCCAGGCATTTTGAAATTAATTGTAGGTGAGCAAAAAAAATGTCAGAAGAGTTATTAAAAATGTACATCAAGCCCAAGAAAGATTACATTCGAGAAGAGCATAAGCTGAAGACAGGGAGTTCCCTTCAAAGAATAAACTCGAATAAACTTCTTTCCCCCCAAAAGTGAAACAACTATACTCATAGCTCTAAAGCACACCCCCTACTTAAACTAAGTTCTTTTTTCTTTTCCATGTGGTATCTAATTGCAAACCGTAACTGCCCAGGAGCCAGCTGTGCTGGTGATAGACCTAAAGACACAACTCTAGCCCTGCTCTCAGCAAAACCAGTGCAAGCAGAGCCCAGCCTGGCAAGCAGAGATTCACCTGCTTGCCAGGGAGAATGGGGCTGCTTGACTGCCCCTCACCATTTATTTCTGGCATTTGCTCTCTCGAGCCTTATCACAATGGGATCTCTATTGCTTTCCACTGAGGTCCAGAAAGTTTTGGCAAAAAACCCCAGAAGCTCATGTCAGCTGGCTGTAACGCATGGGTCACAGCGGGACTGACCCAGCACTTCATCTGCCACGTTCCCACCGACACACGTGCCAACTCAGGTGGCAATGTTTTGCCCTCACCTTTGGCAGACGCAAGAAATAACATGTAGTGTCAGGGCTCAGAGGCCCTTCACTGCAGAGTTACCC